AGAGTGGTGGTTAGAACAAACTTTGTTGTATGGGGCGAAGTGTTGGCCAGATAATAACTCACGTTCATGAGATGAAAGTTACGAATACGAGGATGTTGCGATGGATGTGTGAGCATACTAGAAGAGATGGGATTAGAAATGTGGATATTTGTGACGAGGTGGGAGTGGTTTCGGTGGAGGACAAGATGCGGAAAGTAAGACTGGATAGTTCAGACATGTGAAAATGAGATACACGGATGCCCCAGTACAGAGGTGTGAGACGTTGGCTATGGATGATTTCAAGAGGAGTAGAGGAAGAACAAAGAAGTATTGCGGAAAGGTGATTAGACTACACATGCACAGAGTCAACTTACCGAGGACGTGACCTTAGATAGGAAGGGATCGAGGACACGGATTGCGGAGGTTAGTAGGAAGCAGAACGTTGTCTTTTTGTCTATTCATATTAGTAGTCGTAGTATTGCCCCCATAGTTTCATGTCCTTCAATTTTTGTTACTATTAGTTGCTCCTTATACCTCGATTATCGTGTTGTTTTGTTGTAGTTCTGTTTTGTTACTATCTACTATTGTTGTTATTATGTATGTTATTATCCGTTCATTCTTTTACTTTGGTTATTTATTGTTCGGGACTGATTTGGATTATTTTTCCTTAAATCAAGGGTCTATCGGAACAATCTTTCTACCTCTGAGGTAGGGGTATGGTCTTGTAATGACCCGGCTTGTCATTTTTGGATATTTTCATAAAATTACCATTTTGCCCTCTCGATATTGACCCCGAGCTATTTCTGGTTGAGTTGTGAATTTTTGTAAGTTTTGAGTTTGAAAGGCTAAAGTTGTTAAAAAATAATTTTTGGTATCTTTTGGAGTTTCAAGTGTCAGAATGGAATTCCTTTAATTTCGTCAGTCCCGGAATGCGGAAATTGGTCTATGAGAGTTTTCAATATGAGGCCCTAAGTTGAAATTTATGAAATTTTAGCCTTTAGATTGACTTTGGTCAACATTCGGGATTCGGATGATCTGATAGGAATTTCGAGAGTTACGTTGGATTCAGAGGATGATTTTATGCCTAGATGAAGTCTTGGTTGATTTTTCTGAGGTCCCGAGTTTGTTTTGGCCTTTTTAGGCGTTATGCTAATTTCTATGACTTTCACGAGTTTTGGGTCAAGGAGACCACAGATTTATGTTTCGACGGTTCCATTGAGTCTGTAAAGTCGAGTATAGTCAGTTTGCTTATATTGTTGTGTGTACGGGATAATTCTGAGGGTCTTTTCAATGATTTTTGTGTTGGCTGATGTTTTTGCTTCTGCAGTCCTCGCATTTGTAGAGGGCCTTCACTTTTGCGATCTTCACTTTAGAAGAAAGCCACCTTGCAAAAGCGAGACTGACCTTTTGGGCGGGGTTCGCTTAATTGAACTAGGGCTCGCTTTAGCGATGATCGCTTAAGTTAAGCTCGATTCACAAAAGCGAGATCCCCTATTTTTTGGGATTCGCTTAAGCGAATCTGGGTCGCTTTTGCAACATCAGAGAGGGGTTTTTGGTCTAAAATTTTTGGGGTTTAATCCCCATTTTTCATTTTGAGCTTGGTAAAACACTTTGAGGCAATTTTGAAGAAATTTCTTGTGCTAAATTGTTTGGGTAAGCTTTTGTGATCCTAAAACTTCATTTTCCTTTACTTATTCATGGATTTTAACATCAAAACTTGAGATTTTGATTGGCAAATGGCAAGGTTTTTCAAGAACTTGAGTTCTAAACTAAAATGGTGATTGTGAACTGATTTTAACTCCTTTTTTTAAACGGTTTCACCAATGAGTTCCAAATGCCTTAGGTAATGTTTTCAAGTGAAATTTTTTGGATTAAATCTCATTATCGGAATTTGGTTTTTGAGTTGATTGGCCCATTTTTCAAAGAGTATGAACTGGATATTGTTATTTCCATAATCTTCTTGTGCTTACGTGATTGAATTAGATTGTGTGACTTTGGACATAGTTTGAAAGGGAAATTGGTTATGTGCATTGATTGTTGTACATTGTGATGATACATGTGATATAAAATCGATGAAAAATGGTTACGACTAGTGATATTGTGCCGAAAGGAAATGATTCCGGTTAGTGATGTGATATAAAGCCGATGAGAAATAGTTCCGACTAGTGATGTGATATAAAACTTGTGGAAAATGGTTCCGGCTACTAATGTGATATAAAGCCAATGAGAAATGGTTCCATCTAGTGATATGATATAAAGCCAGTGGAAAATGGTTCAGGCTAGCGATGTTATATAAAGCCGATGGAAAATGGTTCCGACTAGTGATTTTGTGCCGAAGAAAAATGGTTCCAAAAAAAGTTGATTATTGTGATTTGATGCATTTTATACTTGTGATTGATCTACTTGTTACATGTGTTTGAACTACTCGTTACTAGTGATTGGTATACTTGATGCATGCTAGTTGTTGAGCTATGACTATTGAACTTTGTGGTTAAGCCTTGTAAATTGTGTATTGTAGCACCATTAGGTTGGCTGAGTTCTATGCAAGTTGTAGTTTGAGGAGTTCAGTTGGGATGAATCGATTTCTAGTTAGTATGTTTTATTTATCAGGTTGCTTGCTGAGTACCGTGTTGTTTGGTACTCACTCCTTGCTTCTACACTTGTGTAGGTCCCGAGCCTGGTATTGTGTGATTGCTCTTCTTCTTCTTCTCCCTTTTCTCGAGGCTGGTAGAAGGACTTGAAAGGTAGCTGCTTGTCATCCAGGCAGACCCTCTTTTTCCTTTTCGTTATGCTTTGTTCTATTTGGAAAACAAAGCATTGAGACTTGTACTTTTTTTTAATTCCCGCACTTTATGTATTAGTGGTTTGTACTTGTGACAACCATGTTTTTAAAATAAGTTTTCCATTTTTATCTTGTTGTTGTTTCTTTTCCGCTTTCGTTTCGTTGGGTTGAGGTTGTTTTGTCTTGGTAGGAATAGACTAGTGTCGTCACGTCTATTTTTGGATCGTGACAGGTCTGCATATACTCTACCCTCATCAAACTTCCACTTTTTAGAAACTATACTTAGTATGTTGTTGTTGATTCTTTTTGAAACATATACACTAAAGAAAGGGGGAAAAATGCCCCTCAACAGCATAACAAGTTTGCCCGTCGTTTGAATTTGGCCCTAAATATGCGCTTATCATTGTTGGATTGGCTCAAATTTGACATTCAACTGTGAGAAATAGGACAAATTTGTCCTCCGTTTGTATTTGGTCCGAATATATCCTTATCGTTGAAGAACTTGTTTGGGCTCTTCAAAAATGCCAACATGTACATTAAATTTTTGAACGATCACATATTGACGTGACAACATTTTTTGAGAGTCCGAGCAACATAGTTTTTATATGTACCTTCTACACATGCTTTTCTGACCTCATTCAAATAGCCTAGTGAAGATAAATCAGTGTCCTCTATTCCTATCTGTACATTTGCATGTAGTAGCAGTACTTTGGCCTAAATGTTTGGACCACAAATTCGATAAATGTAATCCACAAGTAGAGTCTAGAGAGCGTATAGTACTATTCCTATTTGTACATTTGCATGTCGTAGTAATACTTTGGCCTAAATGTTTGGACCACAAATTCGATAGATGTAATTCCACAAGTAGACCCTAGGGAGGTTAGTATGTAAGCTGATCCAGGGGTGAAACTATGTATAGCTTAGGGGGTACCTGAACCCCCTTTGACGAAAAATTACATTGTATATATAAGGTCAAATTCTGATTTTATGAGTATGTTTATTAAAATGAACCCCCTAAACACTGAAGAGAAGAACGGCATAGTGGTTAAGGGGGTTCATTGTTGGCTAGAAGGATCAGAGTTTGATTCCCATTGCATGCAACATTTTCCACCAGTTTTAAAGGCTAAGATGGGCTCAGATTCCCAATCCAATGACACTGTTTCATTGGGTTGAATATGTAGCTTTATTTTTATTTTATTTTCATTAGTTCTCTCTTTATTCTGGTTTTATGAGTATATTTCTTCTTCTTTTTATCAATTTATCTTGATTGAAATTTATTAGCCACATTCTTTATAATTTTGTCTTTTATTCTTCTTATTTTATATTGCTCATTTTGTTTCTGCATAACTCTCTTTCCATGTAATAAATTGAAGAAAGATGAACAATTATTAAATTTTAAATTGAGTTAGAAAAAATATTTATATAAAATAAAGTAAATTAAATTAATCAAACAAAAAAAAATTAAAAGTCATGAATATTTTATAACAAAATCTATTTAGTTGAATTTTCTTTCTTTAATTTCATAGTATTTCTTTCCTATAGTTTTTTCAATTTTTTCGAAAGAGATGAAAACTAAACTAATTTTATTTGATTTATCGATCTTTTGTTTTTTTTATAGATGACTAACCTAGTAAATTGAATTAACTGAACTAAAGAACAATGATACCATGTATTTATCTTCTGAATATGCATTATAATATTAGTAACTCAATCATTACCCCTTTTAAAAAACCTTAGTGATTTTTATAATAGCATATGATTGAAAGGACACTAATTCAGATTTTTTTTTAAAATCAAAATATAATAGAACATTGCAAAATAAAAAAAAGGCATATTTTTTTTAAAAAAAACTCAATGGAGCAAGATAAAAGTAGGAAGAACATAAACGCGACATGACAAGACAAGTTAAAGTTAAAGTTAGCGGGTTAAGATTAATATTTTCTTTTTCCGTCTCGCTCCGTTTTTCGTCTTATAATTTTTACGTGTTCACTACTTTATACTTCGAACCCGCTTCATGAAAATCCTTGCTCTGCCACTGTGCAGACCTTCCCTCTATGTACCTTCACGAGGTTGATTTCCGATAGATCATCAACTCAAGTAAAGCGTAAAAATATCAGTAAGTAAAGGAAATAGTTGGAGTAGTACATACATTAAATGCAAGGTAAATATGACAGTAACATATTTTGTCTTTTAGTACCATTTTAGTGGTACTTCCATTGTGAAAACCAAACATGTTGTCTAAAGTTAGATACAAAATTATTAATTTGATTTGAGAAAAATAAAGAAGAGAAAGCTGAAGAAGGTTTTATCTATGGAGGACAAGAAGAGTAGAAGTTCAATGGTAGTTTGTGTTACTGGTGGTTCAGGATACATAGCTTCATATCTGGTGAAAAAACTTCTTGAAAGAGGCTACAAAGTTCATGCTACCTTGAGGAACTTAGGTATGTAATTCTTGATTTTTCTTTTTTTCCTATCATGTGATCTTGTATGGATGGATGAGATTCGTCTACCTTAACTAGAGGTTTCAAGTTCACATTTCGAAAAGGGAAATTTTTCATAGAAATTGGAGTTCATTGGGAACTCTACCACCCTGATTTTGAAAAATAGTCATTGTTGTCCTAAAATTTCACTTGTGGAATTTGAATATATTTTTTTAATTACAAAGGCTACATATAGCCTTAGAGATGACAATGGGGCGGGGAGGATGTGGGGCGGAGCAGGTTTAAGGTTGTGCGGGGGGAGCAGGTTTAAGGTTGTGCGGGATGGAGCAGGTTTAAGGTTGTGCGGGGCAGGAGGGATGTGTGTGTGTGGGGATAAGATAGTAAATCAAAATGGTTCAATAGAAAATAATACAATTTCTTACATTTTTTCCAATTGACCTCTAAAGAATAAATTTTAAGTCATTATCTATTAAATTAATACAACTTAATGGAAAAATGGATTTATTTTTATGAGGGCAGGGTGGAGCGGGTTGAAAATAAAAAAAAATTGTTATGAGGGGGGATTAAAAGTTTTGCGGGTTAATCTAACCCGCCCCGCCCCATGCCATCCTAAGTTCTGCGTACACTTTATCCTCTCCAGATTACATATATGGGATTGTTGTTGTAAAAGCTAAAAATACTTATTTATGAAAAATTTCCCAGAAATTTCTAGTTCTTGGTGTGGTTCTTGGTGTGATGGAGTTGATCTTTCTAGCCTTAACCCGAAGTGTTAGGTTCAAGCTTTAAAAAAAAAAATTAAAAAAGGTAAAATGGTGTCCACTAGCCTCTTTTCAGCCATATCTTTGAAAAATAACCATTGTCATCCTTGAGTCCCGTCTCACGTGTAGAATTTGAAACTTCAGGACAATAATTGTTTTTCAATGACGAGATGAAAAATAATTAACTATTACTGAATTTGCCCCGGATATTTCAGATTCAAAGCACTTAGCCTTGTAGTGAGTCTTACGCCATGTAAATTTGAATTAGTCTTACCAGTAAATTCCGAATACCATATATATATATATATATATTAAATTTGTGATAATTTTGCAGAGGATAAATCAAAGGTAGACTTGTTGAAGAACTTGCCTAATGCAGAAGAAAATTTGAAGTTATTTCAAGCTGATATGTATAGACCAGAAGAATTTGAGCAAGCAATCACAGGCTGTGAGTTTGTTTTCCATGTGGCCACTCCTTGTATACATTCTGAGGGATTTCAGGTACCTAGTTTCATTTTTCAAAATAATGATGATGTTCAATCAGGTCAGCTTATGTGCATCTCGATAATTATACCAACTTCATTATTGCTTCCCAACTAGTATATGTATGCCTATTTTCATTTTAATGTTGTTGGGGACCTACTATCTCTCACTAGGAACAAAACGTATTTTTTTTATAATGGTGATGTTCAAATCAACTTGCTCACCTATTCTGTTCCACCGAGTACCTAGTCTCCCATGGTTTTGACCTATCACATCAGTTGTTAGGCTACACTTTTTGTGCTCGTTAGGGTCAGAGCTATAATCATCAAAGGGTGATCAATTGAACACGTTTTGTTGAATATTTTTATTTTGTATACATGCATCCAAGGGTGTGACGTAACGGCCAATAAAGTGTGTGGAGCACCATGATGTCTCGATTTCAAATCCTATGGAAAAAAAGCACCTAAGAGATTTCTTCCTATCTGCCCAAGCCTTAGTGGACAGAGTTATCTGGTACCAAGGCTTGGTGATGGAAAGTTTCGTGTATGTCTGTTGGTGGGAGGTGGCAGATACTCAGTGGAATAGTCGAGGCACCAACGTCACAAAAATTATGATACTTTATATATATATATGTCAAATATTACTACTTTTTATATGTAAATACTATGTTTATTTATTTTGGTGGGATTGAACATTGTAACAGGACAAGAATCAGGTAGAAGCAGCAGTTGCATCAGTGAAGAATATCGTAATGTCTTGTATAAAGTCTGGTACTGTGAAGAGGCTTATATATACAGGCACTGTGCTTGCTGCTTCACCAATGAAGGATGATGGTAATGGCTTCAAAGATTTGATGGATGAAACATGTTGGACTCCTCTCAATGTCCACTTTCCTTTTAGCGACGATTTTGTTATGGTAAGATTTCTTTCTTATTAGTAATGATGGTGTCGGGATCAGTTTGCCTACCAACACACGAATCATGCAACTCTGTCCACCCTAAAATAGACGAGTCTTTCTCTATGAACTACCTAAACAAGAATTCTCGAATTCTATAAAGCTTACCAAAAAACTAAACATTTCCTTTTTTGAATAGTATAGACTTATGTGGAAGCAAAGACAGCATGTGACAGAGAAATCTTGAACTTTGGCAAAGATGGATTTGAGGTTGTGAGCTTAGGTTTTGGTCTTGTTGGAGGAACAACACTCTTGTCAAATATCTCAAGAAGCATGGCTAATATGTTGTCAGTGGTAACTGGTGATGAAATTTATTACAATCAACTCAAGTTCATAGAAGAGGTTGATGGAAAAGTTCCAATTATACACATTGAAGATGTTTGTGAAGCTCACATTTTCTCAATGGAAAATAGTGATTCTATGAATGGTAGACTCTTGTGTGCTAGTGCATTTGTTTCTTCTGCAGAAATTGCAAGTTATTATCAACAAAACTATCCAGAGTTTCATATCAACCAAAAGTAAGTACCTTATATTTCATCTACACTATTTAGTGTCTAGTATCTGGTTTGGACTCCGACTAATACAGATTCTATCACACGTTGGTTTGGAGGTAAATTGCTCGCTCCCCACCAAACGTGACTTCATTTCTAGAGCTCGAATCTAAAACATATAGTTATGTGTGAAATTAGGTCTTAGGCCTAACTCACACTCCAAAAGCTAACTCAAAGGAAGGAGGATTGTCCAAGCCTTATACAGAGTCAACTCATCTCATTAACCACCAATGTGGCCTTTTGTCATTCTTTAACACCCCACCTCACGCCCAGTGCTTAGCATTTGGTATGTGGGCAATTCTGATTTTGGGGGCCCAACATTGGGTGAGATGGGCCCTGCTCTGATACCATGTGAAATTAAGTATTAGACCTAACTCACACCCCAAAAGCTAGCTCAAAGGATGGTAATGTCCTGCTTCTTTCCTGTACCCTTGTCAGTAGCCGTGACAGAAAGTATACCATTGGCATCGATGTCGAATTTCACTTCTATCTGGGGAACTCCCCTGGGACCTGGAGGGATTCCATCCAGGCGGAAACTTCCAATAGACTTGTTATCTTTTACAAACTCTCTTTCACCTTGCAGCACATTAATCTCAACACTTGTTTGCCCATCTGCTGCAGTTGAAAAAACTTCTGATTTTGAAGTTGGTAGTGTTGTATTTCTTGGGATGATTTTGGTCATAACTCCACCCAGAGTTTCCAGACCAAGTGACAATGGAGTTACATCTAATAACACGATGTCACTAATATCTCCAGCCAAGACACCAGCCTGAACTATCCACCCATTTCATTAACCATCAATGTGGGCTTTAGTCATTCTTTAACATTAAGTATAAGAGAGTACTTACCACCCCCATCACAATCGATATTGAATGTAGTTCTTGAATTTTCTTTGCGCATACTTAGACTTTTGAGGTTATGAATTAATAAACATTGAGTTCAACTAATATTGACGATGTAAAGAATTTTTATACTATCGGATCATTTAATATCTATTTAAAGGATTATTTTTTGAATTTCATTTTATATATCTTTCCATTTATAAACAGGTACTTGGATGATCCAAAGAGAGAAGTGAAATGGGGATCAAATAAGCTTATGGAGAAGGGTTTTGTGTACAAATATGAAATGAAGAAAATATTGGATGATAATATTAGAAGTGCAAGGGAACTTGGAGTTTTTAACTTACCATCATCTGCTTAATGGGAACTTTTAATTTTCATATATGAAAAATATTTACTCGTATAGAGTGTTTGTAACAAATCATATGAATTTATCGTAAGTAATAAAATAAGGTGATAATATTTGCTAACACGCATGTCGTGTATTTATTGTTTTGATGTATACACAGGGTGCGGATAATTTTTATGGTCCGTGTATTGTTTTTTTCTATCCTTCATAGTGTGAAAGTATGGTTAAATGACCACATGTATATACTGAAGAATACATACGAACACCCTTATATTCTACTCCTAGCTCCAATTTGTTTGGTGATATTTCCTTATTGGTCCGTTCTGGAAAGAATGACACATTTCTACGTTAGGAAACACTTAACTTTAAACTTCACATTTTACCGTTAATATGAAGCTTTTATAGCCACGCAAATGTTACAACATGTGTAAGGTTTCAAAAGTCTTATAGCCAAACAAACTGTACTAAACTAATTGGAACAGAGAAAGTAGTAAATAGAGTACTAATACATCATTTGGAAAGTCAAGCTGATTGAAGCAGTAGAATCATATGGAAACATATTACTCGCGCTCGATGATAACATCGATCCAATGATAATTTGATTACAGTAGTTGTAGTAGTGCTCCTGTAGTTTCTTCTTGTCCTTCGATTTCTATTACTACCTGTTGTTTTTTACACCCCCACTATCATCTTATTTTGTTGTAGTTACTATCATGTTGTTTTTGCTACTCCTATTACTTCTTTTTCTAGACTGCTTTGGACTATTTTTCCCTTGATCCGAGGGTCTATTGAAAACAGTTTTTCTACCTCTAAGGTAGAGGTAAGGTTTGAGTACACTATACCCTCACCAGACCCGGTGTAATCCCATAAGTGGAGTCTGTGGAGGGTAGAATGTACACATGTACGCAAACCTTACCCCTATCTTTGTGGGGTTGAGAAGTTATTTTCGATAGATCCTCGACTCTTAAGAAGTGTAATCAAAAGCAGTTAAAGGCCTTAAATACTGAGTTCTTGTTTCTCTTAATTAGTATTAGAAGAATAATATAGAAAGTAAGTTGCATGTTGAATAGTAGCATTCCCTTAATCTTTCACTATGATTTAATCTATACTTGATTTGGAAGCAATGTACCAGAAAGGGGAAATGGAAAATGAAAGATAATGCTATTTGTAAACATATTCTCCTTGTGAGAAATTAATCTACATCTCCATCTACATGTTTTGGAGAAAAAGAACTGGTGATCATATGATTGAAGTAAGACACATCATACCCTTAAGAGTTCGACCATTTTGTCCTCTCGACTAAGAATGTCGTACACTTGTATTTTTACAGGAGCATTCACATATGAAGAGACAGAGATCAAGACATACTTTGATTTGATGATACGAACTTTGTTTAGCTTTCCGTGATTTCTTGCAGCATTTCTACCACCTTCTTCATCTTTGGTCGCTTTGCTGGTGTCATGTCAGTGCATAGCAACGCAACCTTTAGTGCTGCTAACATTTCCTTTCTCCAAGAAAATGAAATGGTGCTGAGCTTTGCATCGAGTATCTGCTCCGGTGTTTCCCCCCTTGTAGGTGCACCATGTACCCACTTAACCAAGTCTATTCCTTCACCAAAAGCTTCATCAACAGGTAGTCGGGTGGTTAGGATCTCAAGCAAAACAACCCCATAGCTGTAAACATTTCCAGGAGCTGTTACTTGCATCGTATATGCATACTCTGTTTAGAAAAAAAAAACAAGTCAATAACAGATTTATAATCTCTACAAATGCGAAAAGAGAGATAATAGTTTCAATTTGTTTGTCATACTTAAAAAAGAATGCCTTTTTCCTTTTTTGGCAACTTTTAAATTCAAACTTTTCACGTGACATGTTTAAGACCACAAGATTAAAGGGCATTTTGGTACATTCTACATATCTTTAGTTTAAGACACTAAGATTCAAAAGTTTTCTTTACTTTCTTAAACTTTGTGTCAAGTTAAAATCAGACAAACAAATTGAAACAGAGGGAGTATGTGTGTTCAAATGATATGTACCTGGAGGAATATATCCGAATGAACCAGCAACAGCACTAATACTTGCAGTCCCTCTAGATGGATCGAGAAGCCTAGAGATTTCAACTTCACTAACCAAAGGCCTGAAATTAGAATCAAGAAGCACATTCCCGGAAGAAATGTCAAGATGGATGATAGCAACATGGTGAAGGAATGCCAATCCTTCTGCAACTCCAGTGGCAATGGCAAGTCTTGTTGGCCAGTCGGGCTTATATTCAGGTTTCTGGCTAGAGTTATGAAGATATTGAGTCAACGTTCCGTTGGCATAATATTCATGCAACAGAAGAACGACATCTTCATAGATTCCAAATCCGATAGGACGAGCAAGATTATCATGAACGAGCTTACTAAGCTTTTCAAGCTCTCTGATCATCTTACTCTGGTGATGAATTATAGTTTTGTCCATTGACTTTAGCTTCTTCACCGACAAAATCATCCCGGAAGGCATGTCTGCTTTATAGACAGTGCTGAAAGTACCAACACAAATCTTATTCGAGTCTTTCATGACTGCCTTTACAACTGCATCAAAATCAATTGCTTGCTTTAGATTGTCAACAAAGACGTTTCCCGCCAGTATCACTGGTTTGCTAGAAATTTCATCAATGGTATTTCCAGCTGCTTCCTTGGCAGCTTTCTCTTGTTTCTCCCTCATCATGAACAGCAAAACAACCACTGTGACACATACAAAAACTGCCAAACCAGAACCGATAACAGCCAAAACGATTCGGTAAGAGACCTTGTGACCGTAAACGCTGTGGTCATAACCATTTAAATCCCCACAACCACCACTCAAAGGATCACCACAGAGATCTTTGTTTCCAAGAAAACTTGAATTAGGACTTTTCTGAAATGGTGCAAAAGTAGGTATTGGACCAGTGAATTGGTTGCTCGAAAAATCAACCTCTATCAAACTCTGCATGCCCTTCAATGCCGGTGGAATATTCCCAGAGAGCTGATTATCAGATACATCTAAAGAAACCAACTTGTCAAGTTTTCCTAAATCCTGAGGCAATTTTCCGTGGAGACGATTATGACTCAAATTCAACGAAATCTGCAAGTTCTTCATATGACCAAGCTCAGGAGGGATATTTCCAGTAAGTTCATTACTCCCCATTTCCAACTCAAGCAACTTTACACAATTCCCTATCTCATGAGGTATCTCCCCTCGAATCGAGTTTTCCCCCAACAGCAAATACTGCAATCTGGACGTATTGCAGATATCTGCCGGTATGGTACCATTGAACTTGTTGTTGCTCAAGTCAAGCTTATTGAGATTCTTGCACTTAAGAACTGATGTTGGAATCTCTCCATAAAGGTTATTACCAGAAACAATCAATTCTTGCAAACTGTTAAGCTGACCAAACTCAGGAGGAATAGTTCCATTAAACTCATTTGAAGCTAAATTAAGGAGAGTGAGATTCGAGCACTTCGCGAACTCTGTGACAATTTCACCAGACAAACTATTACTATCTGCTTCAAAATAAGTAAGACTACTGATATTCCCAATTGATTTAGGGATACCTCCAATCAACTTGTTATTCCCAATCCTAATACTAGAAAGTCCTTTACAATTCCCAATCGAATCAGGAATCGTTCCGGTCAACTTATTCTGAGTTAGAACAAGAAATTCAAGATTCCCATTAGCACAAATGCTCTCAGGAATAGTACCTTCAAGCTGGTTTGAGTGAAGGTTCAACAAAGAAAGATCAGAGTACAGTCCTAAGTTAACCGGAACACCACCACTAAATTCATTCTCATAAGCAGCAAAAACCTTAAGATTGGTCAAATTACCAATCCACATTGGGATAGAACCATTCAAGTTGTTAGTAAATATTTGAAAATCTTGCAAATTCTCTAACCCCTCAAGCTCATCAGGTATAGCTCCTGTGAGCCAGTTTTTCGAAAGGTTCAATGCCTTAAGGCTTCTGAGCTTACCTAATTCACTAGGTATTGAGTTTCCAAATTTGTTAAAAGACAAATCAAGATATTGAAGCTCAGATAAATTCCCAAATGCAAATGGAATAGAACCTTGGAAGTTATTATTAGAAAGGTCTAGCCACTTTAAACCTTTGAGCTCAGATATTAGAGTTGCATTACCTTGTAATCTAAAACCAGAAAGATCAAGTCTTTCCACCATTGAACTGTTTGAGCTGCAAATAACTCCATGCCAAGAGCAGAAATCAGTTGTGTTCATCACACCCCATCCAGGTACTGATAGCTCTTTCCCAATTGCTTCCACTACATCTTGATCATGAAAAACCAACTGGGAATTCACAAGTTGGAATCTTGATAACAAACCAACTAGAAAAAACACAGTTAACAGAAACCTCAAAAGTGTCATTCTTGAGTTTTTTTCTTTTCAAGAAAACACCTTTTCTTCAATTACTTCCTCCTTTTCCCTCCAAAACAACTAGATAGAACAATCAAGAATCCATTGATGAGATTAAGGGGGGTGAAAAAAGGGGTTTACAGTGAAAAAGATTGAATCTTTGAAATGGTTATGAGGTTGTTTACAAAGAAAACACCTTTTCTTCAACTTCTTCCTCCTTTTCCCATCAAGAATCCATCACATGAAACTTTCTGCAGAATTGGAGATTGTGGGGGTGGGGTGTAGAAGACAAAAGGGAGTTTAGAGTGAAAAAGATTGAGTCTTGAAATGCTCAAGAAATGTGAGGGAGTATTCCATTTGAGGAATCTTGAAAATGTAAAATAACCAAAAAGCTAGGAAGCCCTTAAATTTAGGAAATAGACAGCAGTAGTGAGTACTATCTAAGAAGAAGCCATATCAAGAAATGAAGAAAACCATTGTGTATAGAAGAAGAAAACAAAGAAAGAAACAAAACACTAAAAAACAGAAGGACACAGAAAACCTGGGACTAGGCTAGAAGATAGACTAGCTGAGCTGAAACAAAATAGTACCACTACTATAGTAGTAGTATTAAGGAGTTAAAGAAACAAAAATAAAGAACAAGGGACTAATTTTTGTTAGTACTTTTTAGGAGTAATTTCCCTAGATAGTCACCAATGTTTGGGAAATTACCTAGGAATATCACTTATGTTTGCTTTAGGACTACAATATCACCCAACTTTACCTATTTTCTT